TAACAGCTAACACAGAGCACTCACCAAGAATTAGACACTATTCTTTAAGTTTATGCATATTAACATACTCAGTTCTTAAAAGAATCCTACAAGGTAGGTACTATTATTATTTTTAAAAATATGTTGTTATTGATAACGTTTATCAATAGGGAGAGGGGGAGAGAGAGAGAGAGCCATCAATAATGAGAAAGAATCATTAGTCAGTTGCCTCCTTCATGCCCCCTACTGGGAATCAAGCAGCAACGCAGGCATGTGCCTGATCAGAAATCAAACCCTGACCTCCTGGTTCATTGGTTGATGCTCACCAATGAGCTACACCAGGTAGGCAGGTAGGTACTATTATTAAACCCATTTTACAGATGAGTAAAGTAAAGAATAATAATGTCAAGTGTCTATTCTTACGTTACACAGCTAGTAAATGATGGACCCAGAGCTTGGATTTGAGCCAGTGTCTCTAGAGGCCACACTCTTCTATATCACTTTCTATTACATAAAAATTGAATTATAATTATATGGATTTCATGCAGAAAATAAGCAAGATATATTTCTAGTATATATTAGGGGAGGGGGATATATTTTTAGAGGGGTGGTCAGAGTGTATCTCTCTGGAGGGAGTATTTATGCCAAAATTTGAAGGGTAAGAGGAAGCCAGGAACTCAAAGAGCTGGGTGAAGAATGTTTCAAGCATATGGGAAAGTATAAAAAAGACCTTGAGTTTGGATAGAGTTTGACACATTGGAAGAAAAAGGAAAAAAAGGCTAATGTGTTTCAAGGGGAACAAATAATTTTCTCTCTACCCTTCTGAATTCTTCTGGCTGGACTAATAAATTAACATGAGACAGATAAACAGGAGAAAATGACCAAATTTATTACATAAGTACATATGTGGGTTCCCTCAGAATAGGGGCCTGAAGACACATTGGGCAGTTGAGGCTTATATGCCATTCTGAACTAAGGAGAAGGACTTAGCAAAAGTCTGGGATTTCCAAGGGAAAGTAGTCAACTCACAGGCAGATGAGAAAGAACAAGCATAGTCAACAGTCTCGCTGGACCCAAACATTGGAACATGGGGTCCAACCAACTTTGTGTGATTCCTCTCTGTCTCACACAGTTCATATTATGTTAAGGTGATAGCTTCGTTTCTTCAAGCAGGAATTCCTTCAGTTCTTTCTGAGTCTTTTGTTTCTTAAAATTAGCCAGCTTAAAATAATAAATACCCTTAAAAATACATTTGGGGTGAAAAACTTCTTCCCCTCAGTGTCCAGAGTGTAAAGAATAAGAGGGAAAGTGTGTCGCACTGGCTGGTTTGGCTCAGTGGATAGAGCATCGGGCTGTGAACCAAAGGGTCCCAGGTTCAATTCTGGTCAAGGGCAAGTACCTTGGTTGCAGGCTCCTTGCAGGTTCGGGCCCTGGTCAGGGCTCCTGCAGGAGGCAACCAATTGATGTTTCTCTCACATCAATGTTTCTCTCTCTTTCCCTCTCTCTTCCACTTCCCCTAAAAATAAATGGAAAAATATCCTCAGGCGAAGATTAACAACAACAACAAAAAAAGTGTGTCAAGGTGAGGTGGGAAAGACAGTGGAGTGCAAGTTCACCCAGGCCTTTATTGCCATGTACAAATGTAGATTTTATTCTTAACTCATGTGGAGCGTGAATGAGAGAGTGGCAAGGGTGGAAGCCAAGTCCAGTTGGAAGACCTGTGCAGTCATTCTAGCTAGAGATAGTGTTGCCCTACGATTTGGGTTTTCCACAAGGGTGTATGTCCATGAAGAAGTGGACAACTGAAAATATATTTTGGAGAGAGAATTTATAAAACTTTGTGTTAAGTTTGGATGTGCAAACTTAAGGGAAGGGAGACTTGAGGTTTTATCTATTCAGCTAATATTAATTGAACGCCCTGTGGTAGGTGCTGGAGAAGGGAGACATTCTAGACACAAAGTCCTGCCTTCACAAAGCCAACACAGAGGGGACAGGCACCAAGCAATCAACATAATCTCAAGTAAAGGGAGAGGTTAAGAAGAAAGTAAGGAGAGTAAGAAACAGAGATCCACAGGTGGACTCTCTTTGGTTGGTCATCAGGAAGAACACCACTTAAGCAGATATGTGATGAACAAAGGCAGTTATCTAAATTAAGATCAGGAGCAAGAGTTCCCAGGTCAAAGGGACATCACATTGCAATCATAATAAGAACTACAGGGCCCACCCTACCTAGTTTGGCGCAGTGGATAGAGCATTGGACTGCGGACTGGAAGGTCCCGGGTTTGATTCCAGTCAAGGGCACATGCTCAGGTTGCAGTCGGGGGAGTGCAGGAGGCAGCTGATCAATGATACACTCTCATCATTAATGTTTCTATCTCTCCCTCTTCCTCTCTGAAATAAATAAAAATATATTTAAAAAAAGAACCACAGGGCCCATCCAGCCACAATGTTGGTGATTGATAGGTTGAGGCCAATACAAAACTGAGGGCCAAGAAAGGAGGCAGGGACACCAGCTGGGAGACTATTGCAGTATTGAAAGCATTGAGGTAATCGGATTCAGGATATATTTTGAAGAAAAAGCTTGTAATGTTTGCAGATAAATTAGACGTGGAAATAGAACAATCAAGGATGATTCCTGTGTTTTGGGCCTGAACAACTAGTTGAATGATCATCTTATTTGAAGAGGGAAAGGGACTGGAGGGAAAGGCAAATCTGAGATTCTATTCTGACATTAACTGTCTTGGCTGTGAACTTAGCTTCAATACAGAAGACTATGGAAGAAACGGGTTTGTGAGGAGAGAGTCAAGAGCTCGCTCACTGGTATATATTATTTTACTTATCATGACAGCAAAGGATTCTAATATGTGCTTGCTCCACATCCATAAATAAAAATAACCTAAAAATAAAAGGCCAAAGTGAGAGGCAACAAGGGTTTATTTAAGATAAAAAAGAATTGCAATTCTGGGAAGCACTAATCCATTAGGAGGTGAAGACAAGGGTATTAATGAGAAAGGGAAAGGGAATAATTACATAAATAAAAGAACAAATTTCTGTTGGTGTTAATAAGTCAAGGAAGAAATTTCTATAAGTGCAATTAAGATAAGCTATTCTTTAGCTATACCTGGAGGTGCTAATTCCAAAGAATGCCTTTCATTTTCAGTACTATTTTCAGGGTGTCTCTTTCCTGTTAGCTTTTCTTTGGGAGACACTGCGTTGTCTGTGTGTGTGTGTGTGTGTGTGTGTGTGTGTGTGTGTGTGTGTGTGTTCCAGTCCAAAGGTTATTGTGCCCATTTCAAAGATTCCAAAGGTTTGAGGAGTAAGATATACCAGGCAGTTCCCCTGGGATGGCAGCTCTATTTATAGTGGAAAACATCTAAACAGCCTGATGTATTCATTTTTATAGTAAAAAATATATAATTGCTGCAGGGATTCGAAACTTTACCCTAGGGCCCACCTGCCTGGAGTGGTCAAAACAGTGCCTGAGAGAATCCCTGTTTTCTGAGAGCCAAATATGTACCCTCCCCAGTGACAAATCTCCTCCTCACATATACCTTAAATCTAATTGTTAAGTCATAAAGACTGGAAATCAAACTGTTACTGTCTCACAATTTTTCTTGTTTCAGTTTTGATCCTGTGAGCGTTGAAATCATAATTTATCTTTTGTTCTTGGGGAACATGATGCTGTCTTTCTTAGAACCAGGTAGATGGGTTACTCAGCTTTGTAGTTCTCAAAAACGCAAGCTGCTCTCAAGACCCCAAATTGAGGCTGGATGGACTAGTTATACATGTCTTCATTCTGTTCATATAGAAATGGGAACCTGTGGTCTTGACTAGTTCATGGTCAGTAGATAGTCATTTAGTGAGGATAGGTGACTATAATCAGTATTTGTTAAGCTGGTTCTATAGTTGCCTTTTCTACTCAGCTATATTTGTTGATCCAACTCAATTGATATGGTTTTCAACAGTAAAACAGGCTGGGGCAAAACATGTTTCTAAAAAGAAACATTACTTTTTTCATATTGCTATTGAATTCAAATTGTAACCAGACAATCTATGGGTCCATGCTGCTGTCACTACTTGAGCCAATTAAGCAGAGACAGAGTTGAATCATATGAGTGTTTATTCCATTACTGATGTCAGTATGGGAGAGCAGCAGGTCATCCACAAAAAATCTGCTCTGCACCCCACCATAATAAGCTAACTGCTTCTATTGGGTAGAAGACAAAAATTACAAGGGGAAGTAGGCAAAGGGTATTCCAAATGGGCAGTTTACAGGTCCGGATATTTGTAAAGGCCTGCGGGTATGCAAAGGCTGGGAGTCTTCAAAGGGCCAGCATTTTTGGTAATCTTTCCATGATAATAGGCAGCTCCCTGATGAGCTGCATTTCCAGGTGAGCTCTCAGGTCCCGCACCACACCCAGCCAAGTTCAGGCTATCAATCCCCAGAAGGAAAGTAGGGGAGGGCGGGGGTAAGGGGAAGCGATCAACCAAAGGACTTGTATATACATATATAAGCCAAACCAATGGACTTGGACAACAGGGGGATGGGAGCATGAGTGTGCGGGGGCGGGGAGGAAGTTGGAAAATAAAAATAAAATAAAAAAAGAATATGCCTTCTTTGGTCAGAACAAAACAATCACAGTTAACAGAGCATGATTAATATGTCTTACAATTATAGCTGGTCCCCAATATCCTATTTCTGCCCCTATCAAAATCATAAAGAGAGCCAACCTAAGGCAGGTGGTAGAGACTTCTGCCCTTCCCCCATTCAAGCCTCAACTGTGACCTCATCACTGACATCATTATCCCCTAAGGCTGGCTCTGGAGGCTCTGGAGAAGGGCAGCTGCCACCCCTAGGGGAGCCAGGTGGCTGCAGGGGTAAACTGGGAGGTGCTGTTTGTAGGACGTGGGTGAGAGGACATCACGGGACACCTACTGGTCCCTGCCCCCAGGTGTGCTCAGTGCTACATCTAGGATTCTACAAGTTCCTCAAGTAGCCCTGCATCTTCTCTTGAGGAAATATGGCACAGGCTAGGGAAGAAGCAGGCGACAGCCACCTGGTGTCTGGTCGAGAGCCATCGCGTATCATCAGAGTGTCTGTCAAGACCCCGCAGGACTGTCAGGAATTTATGCTGGCAGAAAATAGCAGTGTCCGTCACTTTAAGAAACAGATCTCCAAGCGCCTTCACTGTAACATTGACCGGCTGGTGCTCATCTTCACTGGAAAGATCCTCCGGGATCAAGATATTCTGAGCCAACGTGGCATCCTTGATGGAACTACAGTCCACTTGGTGGTGAGGACCCGTCTGAAAGGAACTCTGTCCAGTCCAGGAACTCTGCCAGACCCCACCGGCAACTGTACCCGTGGTTCTGAACCCTCCACCTCAGAGAGTGCTGGAATGGTGGCCAGGCTGCTCTGGCTAGCCCGGAGCTCACCTGATCTGGCTGACTTCTTTGGCCAGCTGGCTCAACTCCTGTTGGCTGCGCCTGAGCCTGTGGTGCAGTTCTTGGAAGACCCTCTGGTTCAAGGCCTGGCAAGTGAGAAACCAGCCAATACTAGCCATGTTCCTGAATCCTCAAGGCCAGTACAGAAACCCGAGCCAGCTCTAGACAAGCAAGGGCTAGAGGCCTTGAAGGCAGTGTCAGGTGGTGATAATGCTATGCGTCCCGTCTACTCTGACATCCAGCAGCTCATGCTCTTCACTCTGGCCCCATTGGTTGCTTCCAGAGGCCAAAACCCAGGTCCAGGGCTTTGCAGAGGGGAGGCCAATGCTCACAGCAGTACTGACACCACCACTGCCTCTGCGCCTGCCAGGCCATTGGCACAGGAGGTCAGTGCAGGAGCAGTTGCCCAGGCCAGGGGCATGGTCTCCACCCAGGCCAATTCAGGGTATAGGGCCGGTATGCAGGACTCATACTCAGGCCATGATATTTCCTCCCAGGATGGCCAGCAGCCCACAGGGAAAGCCACTCTAACCAGTCAGCTGAGACCCTCACCCTCTGTTTTGCGTAGAGCCATGCATGTCCTTCAACAAAATCCAGCTCTGCTACGCCAGCTGGCCACTGGCAGCCCCCTGCGACATCATATACCACTACTTCCCATCCTCACCAACCCACGAGCACTGCAAGCATTGATACAGATAGAAAAGGGCCTGCAGATACTGTCTAGGGAGGTGCCCAGTCTGGGCCCTGGTAGACCCCATGGGACTACAGGAGCCCCTGAAATGAAGGGTGCAGGACAGGGTCACAGAACAGACCCTGTGCAACCCACTATGGCTGTTCTCCAGCTTCTCCATGCACTGGCCAATGCCTGCTCCCAATCTACCCAATCCTCACAATCCTCAACCCTCCCCACTGAAAGCAGGTACCAGCAAGAACTGGAGCATCTGAAGGCCATGGGCTTTGCTAATCGTGATGCCAACCTGCAGGCCCTGATGGCCACAGATGGAGACATCCATGCTGCCATTGAGAGGCTGCTGGGGGAACCAGAGGTCTAGGTCCCTTCAGCTGATGCTCACCTTGCCACCCCATGGAGAGGGAGGTGGAGAAAGGAAAAGGGGAAGGGAAAGGAAGTAGCTTATTTTGGGAATTCCTCCTATTCAGATCATGTGCACATGGGAACAGTCCTTCCCTCACTCCCCAAGCCTGTTCTACATTAAAAAGATTGCTTGGATCACCTGTGTGATGTCCGTTTTGAGATAGGTGGGCAAAGAGAATGTTGTTTGGGGGAGGAAATGACCATGTTAAATGGTCTTGGGTTTGGGCTTTATCTTCTCATATCCTTAATCTCAGAGTATTTTCCAAATTTGAAAACGAAGTGGGGAAATTGCATTTTTTTCCCAGTATTTTTTTCTCCTGCTCAGTTGGCAACACAGCTCCTCACCAACATGACCATCATCACTGTGAGCCACCTCTATTCCAACTTGAGTGACTCGGAAGAAGTCCTGGCTTTTGGTCCCCCAGGAAGCCATGGCTCTCTTTACAACCTCTGGAAGCCACCCAATCTTTGACCATAGTTCTCTGTCTTTAGGTCCGGTCTCCTGGTATTACAGAAAAGATGTTTAACTTTCCTCTCAGCTAGGGCTCTTCCTTTTATATCTTCCTGTGCCAGGATCCTGCTCTTCTGAGATTGATGGGGGAACCAGAGGCCTAGGTTCCTTCAGCTCCATGACTTCTAAATTCTGTGGTCCCAGTATCTTACTGAGCCATCAGTACTCTCCCAATCCACCCATTATCTTCTGTAAACCTCTGCTCTATTAGTGAGGTGACTTACGGTGTAGGCAGCATGCCTTATTTGATTTGTAATTTTCTCAAGGTCACACAGTTTGTGATTGACAGGGATAAAGAAACCCAAGCTTGTTGATTCCAGAGTTCGTGTTCTTAGCTTTACACTGTCCCAGAGCCAGGATCAATCTGTTCCCATGCAGTCAGTGAGCAGGAAGTGTTTTCTGTGTGGCCCTGGCACAGAGGAAGGAACAACTTAGGTTTCCCATTCTTTAGGAGTTTAGAAACGCATTTAGAGAGGAAAAGCTCAGAGAATAATCCAAATCACAAGGATAAAATTACCCATGCTTACTTCAAATAAGCACAAATAAGATAAAATAATGTGGCAGTCAAGGAGGCGGCAGAAAGAGGGAGTAGGGAGAGTTTCATCAGGGCTCAGAGGAAAGGATTTGTTTTTCTTTTTAAATCGTACTTATACAAGAAAGTGTGTGTGTATATGTGTGTGTGTGCGTGTGTGTGTGTGTGTGTGTTGTAAGAGATACATGTAGACTGACAGGAGTTGGGGGGGTGGAGTGGTGAAGTCTAGTGCTGGGGATGGGCTATGACACTGGGGAGAACTCAGCAGGGTAATTGTTCAGGATCTCATCAAGGCTGAATCAATGTCCAGTTCAAAGTCTCCGCAGCAAACACTGAAAGAGCTAGACTCCGGGCAAAAAGAAACAAGAATATCCAACATGGTAGGATTCGAGACCACAACCTGGGCATGTGCCCCAACCAGGAACCAAAACCAAGACCTCCCGGTTCATGGGTTGACACAGACACTGAGCCCCACCAAATACTATCAACTATCACCAATTTTTATGGAGAGCTTAATTTATGTCAGGCACAATGATGAACACATTCCTAATGCTGGGGTTAGTTAAATGGTATGCCCTAATTTATGCACCTGCTAGTAGATAAGAAAGTCAGATTTAAGTTCAAGTTTATCTGTATCCACACATCACATTTATTTCTATTATAAAACACTGGGTAATATATGAGATGTCAGTACAAATGCATAACCTTCAGGCTATTAGCCTCTCTACATCACAGGCTCTTAATTTAAAATGCATAAAATAACAACATAATTTTGAGCCACTGGGAGAAGTATCTGTGGACTTGTGCATTTTAGAATTGAGGTTATTAAGCAATAAAAAATAGTTTAAAAGGCACTTGGACCCTGAGCCATCTTCCTTGAGTTCTTAATAAGAAATTACTCCATGGTTGAAAAGGAAGGGATCTCAAAATGGAAGATCAGTAGAGAAAAATGCAGTTTTAATGAGTACTACTCATATCACAAGCACTGTCTAAATATTTTAAAGTTGCGATATAGTTATAATAATGAGCTTATAAAGAGATATAATATGAAAAGCCTTCAATGATTACAACTTGGCTAATAATATTTAGAGAGGTTACATAAGTTTCTCATCTTATATTTATTTTATTGAGCATGTTACATGTTTGGCACTATTGTAAGTTTTTTTACATCCATTAATTTATTTATTCTTCACCACAACATTAAGAGATATTGTCATTAACCTCCATTTAACAGTTTGTCAAACTGAGGCATAGAAAGATTTAACAATATGCTCAAGGCCACAAAATAAGTAAAAGAATCAGGATTCAAATCCAGGCATTCTGACTTTAGACCTTGTGTGCTGAATTACTCAAAATATAATTCTCAGGTTCAATTTACCTCAAATGTTCTTTTTTTTTCTACTTGAACTCACAGTAGAATAGCCCCACAATGAAATCCAAACTCCTTTCAGAATAGCAACTGACTTCCTCTTTAGCAATTCATAGATACCTTTGAGACAAAATTAAAAATATAATCACCTTTCTGGGCTATTCAGAATTGCTCAAGGAGCCTCAGAAAAAAGATACTTTTTTGTGATTATTGATATCTCCAACTCACCTGGCCTTTTCTCTTCTTTTTTAGGTCATGCACATATAATAAAGCATAGCATACTTGTATAAATTTAAATAACAGTGTTTAAAAACATTCTTCTCATATCATAGGTCTCCGCACATGCAAATGCATCTAGATAGCTACCATACAAATTTATTCTTCTTATTTCCAACCGTTTCTCAGAATTCATACTGAAATCTTCTTCAAGCGAAGCAGTCTCAGAAGTCGACTCCGAATCTCCTTGGTCCTAGCCCCATAGATGACTGGGTTGAGCACAGGAGGCACCAGCACATAGAGATTAGCCAGAAAGATATGCACATGCTTGGGGACTCGGTGTTGGCCAAAACGGTGGGTAAGGAAGGAGAAGAAGGCAGGAATGTAGAAGACCAGGATGACCCCAAGATGGGAGCCACAGGTACTCAGAGCCTTGTGCTGGGCATCACGAGATGGAAGACGAAAGACAGCACGAAGTATAAAACCATAGGAGATACTAATGAGAATAGAATCCAGGCCCATGGCCAGCAGGGCCACAGTCAGACCATAGACAATATTGACAGTGATGTTGGCACAGGCCAGTCGAGCAATGCCCATATGCTCACAGTATGTGTGTGCCATGACACGGTGCTGACAGTAGGGCAGGCGCTTCAATAAAAAGATGAAGGGGGAGACAATGGCTATACTACGAAATATCCCAGCAAGGCCAATTTTGCCTATGACTGTGTGGTTGAGGATGACTGTGTATCTCAGTGGGTTGCAGATAGCCACATATCGATCAAAGGCCATGGCAAGAAGAATCAAGGACTCCAGAGCATAGATAGAATGGACACAGAACATCTGGGCCAGGCAGCCACCAAAGGAAATCTCACCAGCATGGAACCACAAAATGGCCAGCATTTTGGGCACAGTGGTGGAGCTGAGAGCCAGGTCAGTGAATGAGAGAAGGCAAAGGAAGAGGTACATGGGTGCATGCAGTACATTGTCCATGGCAATCACCAAGATGAGGGAAGCATTCCCAGCCAGTGCTACCAGATACATGGCACAAAAGGGGATGGCAATCCAGATGTGGGCCCGCTCCAGACCTGGGATCCCCGTCAGAAAAAGCATGGCTGGGAGACTGTCATCACTAATGTTGGAAGTTGACATTCTGCCTGGCAAATAAAAGAGGGTGATAGTGCACCTGTCCTATAACATAAAGTATTTGGTTCATTCACATAAAATGATGATCTTTCTCTGAGTAATCCATTTTAGTCTGAGAAAAATATTTATTGGTATTAATGTGAGAATCTTAACAGATAGTATTACATATAATCCATTTTGTCATCTGCCATTTTCTATATTAAAAATTCATGTTTTGAATTCTATGTTCCAAGCACCAAGCTAAGAATATAAGCATTTCCTTTGTCTAATCTTTCCAGATTTATTTCTTACCACATCCTGCACATCATTTACTCTCTTTTGTCCACATCTAGAAAAAATTTCTTGTTTATTTTTTTTAGTGTATGCTATTCCATTCCAAGGATCCCCCTTTCTTTATTTTTTATTACCTTTTTAGTTTTAAAGTACCAGGCAGGCCTTCCAGAAGCCTTCCCACTCTAATTTAGTTCTTAGTCTTCTTCATATTTTTTATTCATTCACTACTCTGCAAAAGTCTATTGAGCTTGGTACTATGCCTTTACACAATTGCAACCTTCATACAACATGGCTTTATCTGTACCTAGACACTTTGCTCAGTATTCACTAAAAGACTCAATTATGATAACTCTTAATAACATACCATTGATGTCTGCCTCAATGTCATACTGTTTTAATGACTTAATCTGTGTTTGTAACATATCTGCCCAGATATATGCCAAATGGCTTGTTTTTATATCTCATTTATAGCGCCTACAAAGAGGCTAGGCAACCTGAATATACTCAAATGCCTCATGATTAAATAACTACAGTGTTTTGATCATGCATGAAGTTACCATGAAGGAAAGTAAAAGATGTAGCAGACATGCTAGCTAGGGAGACAGAACTGCTAACTATGATAAAGGCAGTTCATTGTACTGTACACTCACCAATGCAATGGTTGGATTAATGGCATGACCAAAATGTCAATTGATGACACAGGCAGATTGAGGGAGTGAGTGGCATGTCCTAGAATTTACCAACAGTAGACATCCTGGAAGAATGAATTATTTTTTGTTGTAGAGACTAATTATGTACTGGTATTATGTAATCCTCCCTCAGTAATATTATATACCTAAAAAAATCCTTTGTAGGATGCCTGAATCCTGAATTTTAGTCCTGATTCTATCACATGAGTGTTACTAGTATGTGACT